GATATGCAAATATTAAGAGCTCGTGCAATTCAATTCAGAAAAGAGCATAAATCAATGGCTGAATTAAAAAAACGTAGTAAAAGAATAGATAATAAAGTAAAATTAGGAAGGAAAATTAGTATAGTGATAACGGCAATTTTGATAGCATATCTTTCGATATTTATTATGGCAAATTTTGCTCAATGGACTCTAATTCCTGCTGATCTTGCTAGTTCTTTAGGAACAGTATCTAAAGCAAATCTTGGACATGATGATGATATCATTATCAGTAATAATTATAATATTAATGAAATTTACTCTCAATACAAAACTTTATCAAAATACATCAAAATCTGGCAAACATCTTCCAATAAATTTGAATTTGATATCATTAAACCATTTAATAGCAAAATAACCAAAGAACTCAATGTCATTTTATATTATGATAAACAAAAATTGATAAGAAAACAAGCAAAGATTATTGGTAAGAATCGCTACTCATTTGAAATTAATGATGAAGATAGTGCTGGCAATTCTATTAAGAAAAATGGAAGTAAAATATTGATAAAAATCATTGATAAAAATGGAATTGTTATAAAAGAATTTGAATGGTCAAAGGATATAGAGAAACAAAATAATGATAAATCAATAGAATTGAAAAAATTAAATCATAAAGCTCTTAATAAAAATGAAGATAATGGAATTATTAGCAATAAAAATAATTACAATTACTTTTATGGATTTGGAAGTGAGAACAGTGTTGTAAATCTAGTAACCGAAGGAATTCTAATTAATGTTAGAAAAGCTACAAGTTTAGCTGTTAATTTAACACAAGAGACTTTTCTATATATAAGTGAAAATCTTAAATTTTGGATACCTTTTGCTTTTGAAAAAGTAAGAAACATATGGAACATTTCCGAAATTTTAGAAAGTGTTAAATCATGGTTTCAGTAAAAATCATCAGTAAGATTATTATAATTATATATTATTTATTATTTTTTTGTATTATCATCTTATATATATTATAATAATTGTTTGTTATTGTATTAAATACATATATTTAAAATTTTATTATTTGATATTTACATAAGAATACATAAGAAATTGTTATATAGCTTCCTCAAAAATTAATTTTCCATTTAAGGGCAGAGTTCATGTTCATCGAAATTGTCCCACTATAAAATCTGACAACTATAAATTTTTTCCTTATCAATATATTGTTTAAAGTACTCAAATAAGTCATATGAATAGAAGTTTATTCAAATGTCATAATGTTCTTCTATTATTAGTTTACACCAACTATCAAATGATCACAGAGATATCTATAATTCTTCAAACTCTATACTATATTTAATTTGGTGCATACTGCAACAAAACCAGACAAAGTGAACATTACAATATTACTAAATGTTATTAACAGCAAATACACACAATGTGGGTCGCCAGCAAATATTATATTATTTAGGGTCACATGAAAAGGACAGGAAATGGGTTCATCCTTTTTTCAACATCCCAATATTTTAATAATCATGTACATATTTTAAATTATATAAAATTTTCAAATAAAAAAAATTTCATCCATGAATAGTTATCAAAGAAATTTTCTTATTTTATAAATCAATCCATTTAAAGTAGAATACTGTATTTTGAAATCCAAAATCAATTCTATAATATTAATAAAAAAATAATATGTATATTAATTAGCAAAAATATCTTTTATTGCCCAAACAATTAAATCTTTTGAATTTTCATGGGAGTGTGGAAAGAAGGACAAGACATATTAATCCTGGAAGGTGGTACCTGATCATGTTTATTCTGGTACATATGACGATAGCTGGTGATGCAAAATTCTGCAGACTTAACAACAATACTCTGTTTATGAAGATATAATAATATCAATCAAAGATGATGAATATTGAGTGATTTATAACAAATGTTTTTCTTTTACCTTTGCATATAAGAGAAGTTCAATTGCAGTTGATATGACACCCAAATCATGTTGATTTCAATGTAAATAAAAACGGCCTAAACGAATCATTCTATAAATTGCATCAAATTTCAAATCCATCACAAAAAGATCCTAATTAAATTATGAAAAGTATATCAGATTAGGTGCATTCCTGAAATTGAAAAGAAATGACCTACAATTAAATATTTGCCTTGGACTATGACACCACACACTGCCACATTTCCATCTACACCATCATCTTCTATAATTTTATCAATCACATCCTTCATTTCATTTCCTAATTTAACTAGATCACCCCATAACCTTTGACCTTTATTTCTTGGTGGTTTAAATTCGCTACTAGTAAATGTGCTTTATGTTTATATGCAGATACATAAACAGAGAAATCTGGCTTTCTTCCTTCAAGGCAAGGGTCAAATTTTTGTTTTCGATATGATGAAGCATTCAATTCATTATTGGACCTAAAATTTCTAGTTAATAAAATGATATTATAACATTTGAAGAAAAAGAAAACCATAGAAAAGATAATTACCATTCACATTCAAGCAATTCAGTATTACTGAATATTGATGAGAGCAATGGTGTAATGTGATTATGAGAAAATGTATCTTCATTTAGATTATTTACACTTCTTGTTAAAGAAAGCTGATTTAAACTGTGATATTACAGAGAAATGAAAATGTGTGTTAAATATTGATTTTTGTTTTCAAACAAGCCTAACAAGGTTATTGTAAGATTGTAAAATATGGCTTACACTACATAATACACTTTCAAAATGACATCATCATCCTTAACTGTGCTCCACAAATCCCTGATCAATGATTTGGATTCCTTTATGTTCTTTCTTGCTGCCTAGTTACATCAAGAGTCAAAAGAAATCTATAAGTCCAAATAATATAAAAATTACCCTGGCAATCTGATTGCATTTCAAGATTTCATCATCTGATAAGTGTGTAACAGTAAAATCTTCTCTAAGTTCCTTAAATAGTGAACTCCATAATTGTGAGTCAAACTGTTCACGAACACCAAAAATGGTATCTTCCTCTTCAAACAAATAAATGTGATTTAATGATCTACCACATTGATATAGAAAAATTTTAAATCCAAGAAATCCAATAAAAACAACACACAATTTTTCAGCAAAGGTGAGATCAATAGTATGTGTGGAAGCCTTGTTAACAGATGACTTTCTGTAGTCAAGAAGCATGAGGGACACATTGCACCATTAATTATCCACTAAGGTATTCCAAGTTAAACCTGGTGATTAAAAATTTACCCACTTTATAGCACAGTCTATTATTAATAAATTACCTGTTTAGCCCCTTCTGCAAAAACCACCTCCTTAGTACCTGGACCAACAAACCAATCTACTTCATATTTGCTTTTTTTGTTTTTTTGACTTGTAACATAATCTTCATTCTCTGAATCATCACTCTCTTCAGACTCAGGTGGGTGATAAGATGATGATGTAGAATAATTGCTTTCAAGTGATAAGCGATTGGATAATTTAGAATTGTTTTCTTTGGGGAGTGGTTTTAAAATAGTATCTGTGAATTGATCTATGTAGGGAATAAATGACATGCACTTATAAATAAAAAATAATGCAGAATTTCTTCAATAGTTGAATATACAGTTAGTACTATTATTGCTTTCTGCAGCCACTCTATCACCACTGTGCTGGTCCATTGCATCCTATTGTTATATGTACATCAAATCGTTAGCTAAGACACATAAATGTTGTGATAATGTAATTCTTAATATTTACTCCAAATATTTTAAATATACTGAGAATAAAATACTAAAACTAACCACAAAATCTTTGTATTGTCCATGTATAAGATCCTAATGAAAAAAAAATATATATATATCAATCTTGGGTTATATAGTATTTTGAACATAAACCCAGGCATTATGACCATAAATGAAATAATAATATATAGGCCATTTAGGTATATAAGAGATAAATATAAGATCTATACTTCAGTCATCAATTGCATTTGTCTTTTTTTCCTAATTATGTCAACATGATTATTTAGTTCATTATCATGATTGTATAAATAGTCCCACTAATAAATATAAAAGCAATTGAATAAGATACAATGCATCAAGAAGAATGAATGATAGATGCAACATCAAAAGGAACTTACATCAGAAGACTCTATTGTCCAAATTTTCCTTCTACATTGTGAAACTATGTTATTTTCCCAGAAGTTTTTAACCTCTGCAGAGCTTTTCACTTTCTTATAAGCCATAAAATTTTAAACAATCATTAGTAACCTTATGACAATGACAATAAACTGCAGGCACTATTGACAAACAGCAGCATGACATCTTCAGTCAAACACTGTGTAACTATTCTGTTCACTAGTGTGCGGCTGCAATAACATGTCAGTCTACCAAGAAACACTACCATTTTTGATGAGCTCTTGGCTTGTCAATAGTAACACTGCATAATCTGTTGATAAACTACCACTAAACTCTTCGGTTGTCACTGTGCAACTCTTCAGACCACTAGTGTTGTAGCAGCAATAACACATCAGTCTACCAGTTGCCTGGCCTATCAACAGACTTAGTAAATAATAATAGAAAAAGAAGTTTATTTCTGACCTGCCAATCTTCCAAAATTTGTGCTGCCTTTTTGGCACCAGCTCCCACACCTTTAGGATATTCTTTAAAAAGCCAAAGAAAGCACCATGTTCATTGGTCTTGTTTGAAAAATCTGAGAACTGTGATCGCCACATGAGGAATCCAATTAGTGGCCATTCATCTGGATGTGTTGTGTCAAAATATATCAGTTTATTCTGTTTACCCTAGGCATTCATAATATGTATGATAAAAAAAAGAGACTTTTTATTGGGTGTGTTTTGTCGCATAAACCCTTAGGTAGAAATAGCATAATTATATTATCACCTGTAAATCGTTCGGCTTTGTCATTTTTTATTTTCTTTTATAAATTGGAATGCAAAATTTCTTGATCAAAAAAGTAGTTTATCCTAGAAAATTTCACGCGATTAACGTGAAAAACTATTAATTGGCAATCTGATGAAGTATCGGCATGAAAGGTTGCACTATTACTACTACATAAAATTTTTTCATATGCATGTGAGAAATTATTATTATAGAAATATAGTTTTTTTCAGATAAAAGAAAAGTTTACTACTTGGCTGCCATGAATTAAAGGTTCAAAACATATTAATATGTGTAACATACAAAGAAAACCAGATATATTTTTTAATTTTAATATTAACAGCATAGTTATTAGCCAATCATTGCCAAATTCAAAATGCCAAAAATAGTTTTTCACAATAGCCGAAATTAATTTTATTAGTAGCCAAAATTATATCCAAAATTATTTGAATTCTTTGACCAATAGCCAAAACTCTGGGTGGTTTTTTATGTCCATTAATATAGAGAATATGGAAAAGTCAAAATGTGCTGAAATATTTGGCAAATGCAAAAATAATTTCGGCTAACAACTAAAGATGGTACTGCAATCATTTTGTCAGTCCGCAATTATTGCAGATTTTATACAGATGTTGCAACATTTTTTCGCAATTATTATTGGTTAAAATTTTCAACCATAAATTTTGATGAAATGACTAGTGATCGGGGTATTCGATATAAGTTGATTAACAAATCTAATTAATGTCATAATGTAAATACATATACAGTTCACTCTCTCTATAACGGCCCCCTCTATAACAGCCTCTATTCTATAACGCACTGTAAATCAGAAACCAAATTTTTACTATATAAAAACCTTACTCTATAACGGTTTTCTTAATTA